CACTTTGGGGCTCCTACCTTTCAGCAAAGGCTTCAGGGATTTCTCTGTCTGTCTCTTACACACACACACACACACACACACACACACACACACACACACACACGGGTGGAAAGGACCCGAGGAACAGTGCCGGTCAGCACAGATCAGATGCATTTGCTGACACCACCACCTGGAAGGACTTGGGCCTGGTGTGGCCTGGGCTACACTGGTGGAGATCAAGGGAATTAACAGTAGGTCCCATGGGAGTTTCTGGAAAGCGTCTTCAGGCTTTTTCATCCAGACTCAAAAGCAGCCAGCCTGTCTGAGATTTTTAACCAAACCACCTGGACAGCAGAGGGTGTCCGTAGGTGTGTTCATTGAGACAGACCCTGAATAATTATCTGAGGAGACTGAGCTTCCTTTCTGGAAGGACAGACTCTGCTCATCTGGTATAAATGCTCTGACTCCTGATCTGTCTTTTTTTTTTTTTTTTTTTAATTAAAGTACAGTTGATTTACAAGGTGGTGCTAGTTTCCAGCCCATCTTCTTTTTGTGACTTCCTGTCTTATAAAGTGTGTCCTCTAATAAAACAGCCATCAGTCACTGAGTGCTCACGACATGTGGGTCCCGCTGACCCACCGCCCGGCCCAGCTCGGCCCTTCTGTCTTCACGAGACAGGGTGTGTGGGGCTGGAGTACCTACTCTGGAAGTTTTTTTTTTTTTTTTTTTTTTTTTTTAATTAAAGTACAGTTGATTTACAAGGTGGTGCTAGTTTCCAGCCCATCTTCTTTTTGTGACTTCCTGTCTTATAAAGTGTGTCCTCTAATAAAACAGCCATCAGTCACTGAGTGCTCACGACATGTGGGTCCCGCTGACCCACCGCCCGGCCCAGCTCGGCCCTTCTGTCTTCACGAGACAGGGTGTGTGGGGCTGGAGTACCTACTCTGGAAGCAGGTCTGGATGGGATGAAACAGTGCTAACTGTCGGACCTGACCTGGGCAGGCCACTCAACTGCTCCAGCTTCAGTTTTTCACCAGTGAAAATGGGTACAAGAGCTCTCCCGCGGGGTTACTGGAAAGGTGCAAATACGACAGTGCCGGCACATAGTAACTGCTTGGGGAAGAGAAGCCTTCATCCTTGAGTTTTCATCGTGGCAGCCTGAGTAGACCCTCTGTGCCCCTTAAAGACTGCCCTGGGTTCCCGCGGGAGAGTCTGGGGGCTCTTGTCTAATCAACAGAGGAAAAGTTATAGGGGAAACTTGGTCTAAACTCATGGCCACTCTGATCGGTATCTTCCTGAGACCTGACTCCCATTTACCCGAGGGGATGAGCAAACAGGAGGTCAAAGAAGAAATCAGAGCAGGGAGACATGCAGGACTAGCTCCCTAGGAAAAGGAGAAAATAAAAGGAAAAGTAAGCATTATAGGAAAAGGTGAGATCACATCATTCAGTGAGAAAGTCCTGAAAAGGGGCATAAGTACGAATTCTGGTGCCTGGGAGCCTAAGGTAGCGCTATGCCACCTAGGAGGCTGGCCAATGACTGTGTGGCCCCCTAGGCTAAAATGTGGGGTCTCCCAACAGGATAGAGATGGAGCAGGGGGCCTTGGTGGTTAGGAAGCCCCTAGGGTCAGAATTCTATTTCTTCTAATGTCTAACCTTCTCTAGCCCATTAGCAAAAGAATATCTACTTAGTTAGGCCTCATCCAAAGAATTTAATTATCCATGTACCTGTGAATCTTGTTATAAAGCAGGCAGACATATATGCATCCTCAACCCCACTGTCTGAATTTGGGGGAGCCCCACTGGAGCTGGAGCGGCACATCTCTCTGTGGTGCCTCTGGGACCCACGAAATGGAGCACGCGAGCATCGCAGCTTCCAGTGAAGGTTCCCAGTGCCATTCAGAACAAAGACCATCCATGCTCGGTCTCCGATAATCAGAGTATGATAGAAATCCATGTTCAACTCAGTGATGTGGTCGGTAGTTCAACGCTATCACCTTCTAAAACAGGTGTTAGCTACCCCACAAGTTCCGAGAGTCATAGTGGGGCCATGCTGTGGGCAGGTGCCACCAGAAGGCCTGAGGCACACGTAAGGAGCTGGAACAAAAAAAGGAATAAAGGGGGAGGGGCCAGAAAGGCAGTAATTGGGGTTGAAGCAAAAGTAAATAAATGGGAAAAGGAAGAGAACCAAACACACATGATGGGAGAACAGCCCCAGGTTAGATGTCTCTGAGTGGTCCCCTTCCCATGGGGCATTTACAGGGGGCTGCTTTACTTACAAGTACCATTCAGAGCTGAACTTGGTTTGTTCTGAAGGAAGCGAGGATAGAGCTTGGCCCTTTTCCAGAGATCTAGGCTGCTCAGGGATAAAGGGTCTTGATATTGGAAAGGAATCCCCATTTCCAAATCCCCACTCCCACCCCAATCTCTTATCATCTAAATAGGAAAATACACGCAAGGTACATTCCCGGAAAGAGGAGGTTTCAGAGGCCTTCTTGAGTGGAAGGGAATGGAGAAGGGGATCTGGTGAGGGTGACAGACCAGGAGGACAGGCCATGCACACACAGGAGGGCTGGATGAGACCACAGAACAAGATGACATGGGGAAATAATAGGCAGAGGCCACAGCAAAGCCTCCACACGCATGGGCGGGGTAGAGTCTCCTGAGTGCCCAGGTGACAGTGACTGGAAGGACAGATAAGGATAGAGAATCACCTGTATGTGCTCCGATGGAGGTCTAGCTAATTTGAAAGCAGCCTCACAGCCACACCCATAAATACAGGATCGGGCGCCCCTGTGGCTCTGATCTCATCTCCTTCTAGCCTGCCTCACTCATGGGCCTCCTTCCTATTTCTTGATCTACAAGAACCTACTTCAGGGCCTTCCTGATGCCTCTGCCTGGGATGCGAGTCTCTGTTCAAGTACCCCCCCTCATCCCAGAGGTCTTCCTTGACAACAGTAGCTCCCCACACCCCCTTTACCTGCTTTAGGTTTTCTCCCTGCACTTAGCATCAAGGGTTTATTTTGTCTGCTTCCCCCAATGGAATATGAGTTCCACAAGGCTGGATTCTATTTTGTTTTACTTCTGAATGTTGCTTAGTGCATGCCAGGCCTCATGAAATATCTGTCAAATGAATGTGTGCACCCAAAGCCATAACATTTACAAGATACATAGAAAGAGTTCTATTGATGGAACTGTTGGGTGTTTCAGGTTGGACCAGCTCTAAGGGGCAGGGTAAGGGTGGGAAGCCACTGCCGTTGAGAAGCCTTAGCAATAAGTAAGGGTAGAAAGCACCTGCAGTTGAGAAGGCCATGTTCTGTTGGAAAGATCCCGATTTGTAGCTCTGCTCCGAGGGTCATGGGGGTGTGGTAACCAGCCTCCAAAGTGGCCCTCAATGATCCTAGGCACCCGACATTCACACCCTTGTGTAGTCCCCCATCCTGAATAGGGCTGACTTGTGTAACCAATAAAATATTGTGAAAATGATGATGTGTAACCCATGGCCTTGGTCACGGAAGACATGGTGGCATCTGTCTTTTTCTTTCTTGGATCACCCATTCTGGGGAAGCCCAGCCACCATACTGTGAGGACACTCAAGTAACCTGGGAGAGAATGGCATGGGGAGGAACTGAGGCCTCCTGCCAACAGCCAGCACCATATAAGTGCGCCACCTTGGAAGCAAGTCCTCCAGCCCCAGTCAAGCCCGATTCAGCTGATGCAACCCGTGCTGATACCTTGGCTGTAACCTCATGAGCGACCCCCAAGCCAGAAGCACCCAATTCAGCTGCTCCCAAATTCCTGACCCACACAAACTATGTGAGATAAGCAATGTTTATTACTGGTTGAAAATGCTACATTTTAGAGTAACTGGTTTCACAGTGATAGATAATTATCACAAAGCGGATGACACAGGGGTCATATATCCCAGGCTTGAGTTGATATGAGTACGTCAAGGATTGTGTCTTTTACCAGTTAACTGTGAGGCCCATTTCCCCTTCCCAAGCCATCTGGTCCCAATTTGATTCTGCAACTCTTAGTAGCCACAAATGCCACCTGTATCCTCAATAAACTTTATTTAGACACAAAGAGACACAACAGAAAATACATACACAGATACAGATATTTTTTTTCTCTATAGGATGAACAAACATCACACAGGGAATTTAAAAATTGGGTGCATGGAATGTAAGAAAAAATTGCAAAGTTCCTTGTTCCCTCACACTTAAAACAAACACATATTTCAGGGGAAGACAGGGATATGCCATCCCTACAACAGAATTCACAGTTGTCTGTAACAGTACACAGGTGTTAGGAAGGTAATCAAAGGAGTTAAGGATCCAGTTACTCTTGATATGACAGAATGCTCACAACACTAGTAGAACTCTGTTTAAACAAAAGACAGAATCGAAGATGTCACACCCCCTGCACAGATGCTCTGCAAGCTGTCGGCTAGGTCATAAAGCAGCTCAGCAGAAATGCCACGTTAACTTTCAGCTTGTGGCTTGAAGGTCTGTGTAACCTCTACCTTTGTATACCCATCATGGAGAGTTTACATAGACACACTTAGGACGCCAAAACTCTTGACATGCGTGCTGGCTTCGAGACCCACAGTACAGAACATTGACATCAGTTTATAAAATGTGGCTTTCAAATGGAAAGGAATAATAGCCAAGAGGAGAACGAACACTTTGCAGACGCTGCCACATCCGTCGGCAGTGTTTCCCACCATGCTGCCGGTGGTCCCCTCCCAGGGGAGCCACTGGCATCTGTGTCCTGCTCCACGCCGTGGGCGGGGCAGGACGCACACCTCTTGGAAGTCTATTATTGCCTTCTAGAGTTACACCTGTGACCTCCTGGTCACTCCTGTCAGAAGCCACGCATGTCACCAGGATAAGCAACCATGGAAACCACCCAACTTATCCTGTCCTGGACCAGCCTCTGGCCTCCACACCATCTTCACATTTCAGATCGGGGTTCCCTAGGCAACCTCTGTATTTTAGTAAAAAATGGTTTCCACTGTACCCTTCGTGTGTCCTCTTCCTAACGTGACAAATCCAGATGAGATGAAGTTATGGAGATCAGGTCCTCCACTTCGGTAAGCATCCTTCCCATAATGTCCTGCAAGAAGATGGGGCAGAATTACCTGGCGCATCCAGGACACCAACAAGAAGACAAACATTGCTGCTCCAGCTCACCCAACAACAATGGTGAGCTTAACTTCAAATCAGCAGCTGAGCCAGAAGGTAGAAGCAATCAAGGGAAAAAAAGAAAAAAAAAAAAAAAACAAGGGAAAAAAAAAAAAAAAATATATATATATATATATATATATATATATAATTTTATAAATTTATATATAATATATATTATAAACATATAAAGTATATATATGAAGTATGTAATATATAAGTATTACATACTTTATATATATTACCAATTTAAATACATACACATTTATGTGTGTGTGTGTGTGTGTATATATATATACACACACACACACACATACACATACACGCACATATAACTGTGCAACAAAGAGGAAAGTTCTAGGAAGCTTATGTTAAAAGGAGAGGTGGGAAAAAGGGCTTGACTTTGGCATTTCTGACTGAGCACATCAGAACTTCAGTCTGTTTGTCCTACCATCCTTTCCTTTTTCCCAGCTTCCTTCTTTCTTTTTCTTGTCTTATTCCTTTGGTTTCTTTCTTTCCAAAGCGTAGAAGTGCAGGTCTGATCAGAATGCTCTATGTGTGTGTATGTTTATGAATCATACCTCATCCTATGAATTAGAGCCTTGTGGCTTAGGAGAAATCCAACATCCGCTGAGGCTGACAGGTAGGGTGGTGGCTCTAAAACACTGGGAAAATATTTATGTGTTTTCCTCTCTCGACTTTCTGTAGTAACATTTTTATCCCTCATCAGCCTCATCTATCCATCTACCTGTGGGGCTGGGGTGAGGAAAAGTCCGAGGACAGATTAGGACCCTGGGAGAAGACATTGAAAGAGAAGAGAAAGAGTTAATATTCTGTTTCTGATATTCAAAGTAGGATTTCACAATATGCTTGAAATATAGGCATTATAAAGAAAAGAAGTCCTCTCTAAACACCATCTTGAACTATGCACATGTGAAAATGGAGAAAAGCTGTATTTTTGTCATGTTGCCACAAGAGCACATTAAAAACTGTACTTACAATTATAACAATGTGCAGACTACCTAAGATGTAATGTTAAGTAAAAAAGTGGGAGAAAATGCTATATTAAGTTGATCACAACACTGTAAAAAAATGCAAACCAGTGTATTAAACAGATTGAAAGAAAACACACCTGATACTGACTACCACCTTTAGATAGTTGGAACATGAGTCGTATTGCTTCTCTCCTTTCAACTTTTCTGTATTTTCCAAGTTTTTTTTTTCTATAACGAGTATGTAATTTTTATAATACAAATAGGTAAAATACATTTCCAACAGAAAAATCTATGATAAATGTAAAGACAACCTAAATCACATTTTTTTCCTAGCGAGGCACCCTCGGCATTAGATCTCAAAGATGGGCGCGTGTCAGAATCATCTGGGAGCTTTTAAAAATACAGATGTCCCGACACTACTCCAGGGATTCTGGTTCAGCTGGTCAGGGTATCTTTAACGAGGTCTCTAGGTGGTTCTAATGTGCCACAGGGAAGAATAACCATTGCCCTAGAGTAAATGGATAAACAACTGAATTTCAGTTTGTTCAGGTGGGTGCAATGGACATTTGCTGGGGTCCTCGCGGGTGCCCAGCACCACCCACTGTTTAGGTTCCGGACTCCAGCATCCGTCCTCTGAAGAGTGCCGTCTGGCTGGCCCTGTTCCTTCCTTCTGCTCCCAGATCAAAGGTTCTCAACCCTGAGCGTGCGGGCCCCGCCCCCAGAGTTTCTGAGTCAGTAGATCTGGGATGGGGCTCAGGGCTTTGCATCTCTATCAAGCAGCCTGGTGATTCCCATGCTGCCGAGCCTAGGGACCAAACACTGAGCACCGTGATCCTAGTGCATGAAGACTATGAGAGAATTTTGCCATTGTTTCCCTCATGCCCTCCACTCTGGAATAAATACCTCCTTCCTCAGGGCACACAGCTTTTCACAAGGAACTCCCTTGCTGTAAAATAATGTAGTTGCAACCCAGAATTTTATAGAAAAGAATTATTGGAGCTGAACTAAGAGGCTTCTGCCCATATCCCAAGCCATGTCACAGCTCCAGAAATCCAACTCTAGTCCTGGAGTCATCAGGGGATGAAGGAGAGAGGGACAAGCGGCGTGTGGATGGGTCACTTCCCCCCCCACGGCCCCTCCCGACAACAGAAGAGTTAAGAAAAGGAAGTAACAATTCTGAATGCTCATAAATTTGGACCTCATTAATTCAGAACCTCTGTTACATCCTGCAGAGTTTGGGCTGGTTTATGTTTGTGCTCCTTATAAATAAAAGTTTTGATAAACAAATCGATCCTGAGAAAGATGGCACATAGAACAGTGCCTTTGCTATTTCAGTTCACTCTTATCTGTCAGTGGAACAAGGTCCCTCAGGGTTAAGCACTGCACTGCTGCTTTGGGGTTGGGCTTGACTGAAAGCCAACTAAATCACCCGATCACCTACTATGTGCCAGACAAAGGCACAGAGCCTCTGAAAACACGGTTTAATCTGACATAGAAGCCGAACATTCTGTAGCATTACGCAGTTTACAAAGATCATTCATATATATTATTTCCTTAAAATTTTCATCACTACCACGTGCTAAGTTGTCTATTATTATTATTCCCCCATTTTATTGATGGAAAAACTGAGGCCAGGGGTGTCAAGTCGGAAGATGACTGAACCATCACTAGCATCCTGGTCTTCTGTCTGCAAACCCCACGTCAGTTCCGTCCTGTGCACCTGGCTTCGTTTACTCCTCACAAGAGCCCTGTGGAAAAAAAGTCACTTTCCCAAGTTCATGGAGCTAGTCAGTTGTGGACCCTGGATCCCGACCAGGTATACCCGCCTCTAAATCCACACGCTTTCTACAACCCTCTCCCTAGCCAGCTCACCCCTCAGTCTGAACAAGTGCAGTTGTGATTCTTCTCTGAGGCTTTAGCCAGGACCCCGGGGCAACGCTAAGCCAGGAGAAGCGCACGTGATGATTCCCAAGTTCACAGACGCTGGATCTCAGACGTGTGGAGTTTCGCATACTGAGGTTTGGAGGGGAATGAGGCAGGACCAGGAGCACAAAACAGGAATACGGAATATTCTATGGTCAAAGAGGTCTGGAAAATACTGAGTTCAAATGAAAAGTAAATACAAAAACCAAGTCTAGACACCTGTCACTGGGTACCCAAGTCTCCAGGGAGCCTTTATATTTTTCAACAGCATCTCTCCGGACAGCTGGAAAGGGCATGGTGGCAGTTTCGGCTTTTGTTCGAGCCGTGGTCCTCAAACTTGAGTTCATCAGACTCACCTGGACGGCACAGATGGCCCAGCCCCAGCCCCGGAATTCCTGATTCAGTGGGTGGGAGGTGAGGCCTGATCATTTTTGTTTCTAACAAGTTCCCAGGCGATGCTGATGATGGTCACAAGTCCAGGGGCCAGACTTTATGAGCCACTGTGTTTCAGAGAACCATGGGCAGGTCAGTCTTCAGCCAGATCCGGGCCAATGCGAAAAGGTCAAGGTCTAGAACGATTTACGTTCTCTGTACCCTCCAAAGGAACAATCACTTCCTTCAAGGGCAGTGTGAAGAGAATGGCTGGTAAATTGAAGCCCTATGCAAGTGGACGGTCAGATGTGAGGAGAGGCAATGCCCCTTCTTTGCCTTGGGGATGTGCAGAGTTCAAGGGTCAATGATGTGAATGGTATGAATGGGTATCACAGAATTCTTTAGCCATAACCCAAAGAGCCGCCCCCTTCTCTTTTCTGCAGCTATGACCCCAAGTCCATGCCCTCCTGCTGGCCATCGAGGCAGGAGGCTAAAGGAGTACAAATTTTGCCCAAATTGCAGTTCCAGAGAAATGGCCCTATATCCAGCAGGGCTCCAGGCAGAGGGAAGCGGGAGCTCTGTGAGCACAAGTAAGTAGCAGGGATACACACCCACGTGGCAACGTCACAAACACACAGCCCCCCCCCCCCCCCCCCAGGAAGCCCACAAAAGCCACTGAAACAACCTTACCCACTGGGGGCAGACACCACCCATCAGGAACAAGGGTGGTCTCAGGTTGCAGAGAGAGTGTGCCCGCCCCCACCTGCTGGACCAAACTTGCAAAGCAGCATCTGGATGACGTGGCTCCCTCCAGATCTGCCCCTGCCCTCTCACCATCAACATCCTTCAGAAGTCAGCAGTCACAGGAACAAGCACCGAGGGGACAATGGTCCCCAGGTGGGAGGCAGATGAAAGCTAAAAAGAGGCCTGGGGCTGGGTTGCTGGAGTTGTCTGATGCTGGTGGCTCTGAGGAGAAAGCGACCTTGAGTAAATAGAAAGTTTCTCTATAAAAGAGATTTGCTGCAAGAAACAGGAGGGGAAAAAATAAGGTAATATCTGAATGGTGACCTTAATAAGATTTAAGAGAATTTCGCATGGGTGAGATTCAATCAGCAGCCATGGAGGAGGGTGGGGGAGCAAACCGATCAGGACAGTTTGCCTGAGCTGCAAATATGGACAGCGGGGTGGATAGTGAAGGAGTTGGTGCAGACAACTCCAAGGAGAGAGATGCACTGGGTACTCAGTAGGGAAGAATGAAGAGACGAGAAGGATGGCAGGAAGGAAGAGACAGAAAGGACCACTCTAGAAGTCACTATCTATTTAAAATAAGATGCCCAGGAGACAGACAGAAGGGATAATTCAGAAACAATAATTAAAAGTTAATAGATTTTCTTTTGCGCAGGTAGAACGCTTTAGTCTTGAGTCAAATATCAGACTATATATTTGGAGGACAGAGATCTAAATATATATATATGCTGGTGAAATGCCATTTAGGAAAAGAAAGGGGAAAACACAAGCCAACTTCATAAAACACTACACCTACAGAAAGTGAAGCGATCTTTTAAAGACTTTTGAGACTTTTATTTCGGTGGAGGGGAGGGGATGGGGGAGAGACAAAATGGCTGAAGGGGATGGAGAGGTA